TATATATATATATATATGTGTGTCGTGCGTACTAAACACGTTCTTCGCACGCAAATTTATTTTCACTACTTGAGTTAAATCCAATCCCTTCAATAATGATTCGCTCGGTGGATTGCAGGCGAAGCATTAACGTCGACGGACCTCTCTCATTTCTGCAATCTCCGGGATCAGTCTATAGAACCGAGGGGGATCTAATAACTATACACCACAAGTAGCTGAGCAGCCGCAGCGAGTAGTGTGCAGGTATAGACGTAAACTTGATTCTACAAGACTACTTATAGACAAGTTTAGAGTTTAAAAGTAACGTGATAGAGATAGAAAGAGAGAGAGAGAGAGAGAGAGAGAGAAAGGAATCAATTAAAATAGATATCTTAAATTAGCAAGCGTACAATTTACGAATTTATCGCATTTCGTTCGTTGACTCGTTAACTCTTTTATTTAACATTTTAGCAATTAATCGTGTCTAGATGTCTACATTTCGAAATATCATGGAAATAGGAAGTAACGAATGAGAGATGAGAAAATATCAGTAATTTCGACTCGAGTCGTTGAAACTGAAAGCTATATAATGGAAATTTCGGTAAATGGACTTTTTCTTCCAGCCACCTGCGGAGTTGTACGTACGATTATTATTTAGAATCAGCGAGCTCTCTGAAATCGTGGGAACAATTATTGCAATATGGCTCGCGCTATAAAGGAGCTCGCGTGAGATCCTTCGGTCAGTGCTGCCTCCTTTCCGACTTCCGTTCGCGCTCGGCATACGGCAAACGAGTTTTACGTCCCGGCGCGTCCAAAGGGTTTCACGCGGCGCGATTATCTCCATCTGAGATCGGGTTTCGAGTCTGCGTCGCTGAGTGAATCGTAGAAGAGGGAAAAGGAGAAAATTCACAAGTGTGGCTCTGAATAGAAACGATAATAATACATCGATGTCGAAGTTTTTTTAAGAGGTAAAAACAATAAAAATGTGTAAATAATATGTATATATATATATATATATATATATATATATAATAATGAAAAACAATAGAAATTAAAAATTAAATAAAAAAAGATTTAATAAAAATTTTTTAATTGAAACTTTACAACTCCAAACGTCCAAATTATTTATTAATAGTTTATGGAATAAATAAAAATATTTTTCTAAAATATGGTATTTTTTAATGTTACATAAAGATTTTAATTTTGACAGAGCTGAATTCTGATGAAAAATTTTATCGATATTCATGTCAGTCTCGTGAAAAAAATTCTGTCGACACTCGTGCTCTTTTGTAATGCAAACAAAGTGCTGAACCTCATCGCTTATAGAAATACAGTTGTCTACAGATGGCAGCACTACCTTAAATAACGAGTATATGTTACCATAAAGAGATATAACGAATTAAAAATATATAGAAAAATTATACTATGTAATGCGTGTTATTAGTCTCATTACATAATTCGATATTAATTACTTAGCCCGAATTCTATTTAATTATTTCTATTTATAAGCTTTAAATTTATATTAGTGATTAAAAATTTAATTTTAATTTATATAATATTGATACATTCGATGTAAATTGACACACGGTTTACATTATTAAAAATGAAAATATTTGCGATACGACAAGTTTGCAAATTTTCAATCTATGAGTAATGCCATTTGCAAACAATAGACTTTTGTCTTTTCGAGGGCACCAGAGGATGAATGAAACATAAAAGAAACGGCGTGGAATAAAATAAAAGTTTCCCGTGTTGAGACACTTTTCTGTTATTACTTTCTTTATTATTTCACGCGATGAAAATTGTATTTTCGTGCAGAT